ACATGTGTCTTAAAAGCTGGAGAGCAAGGTCAGGATTCACAGATTTTTAACTTTTTAACATTTATTTCTTAATGCTCCTCTCCATAAATTGAAACATTAGGGACAAATTGCAAAACCCAATGACTTTGGAAAGACATTACATACGGCTGGATATATTAGAGTTTTAGATGATATCTACCAGCCTGGAAACTCAGAAGCCCTGTGTTCAGCCAGCCAGCCAATGAAACAACAACAAACCTCTCCTTTTTGCTGCATCCCACACATGGGCTGGAGTTGGAGCATGAATAAGGTGGAGGGGGCTGAATCTTTATCCTTAAGGGAATCTAATAAAGAACACAGAGTGTACAATTATATAAACTCTACTATTTTAGAAGTGGATAGAATTTCTTAAGTGAAAGGACTAGATCGACCCCCAAGTTCCAGCTGGCCTGTCCCATGTAATAAACTTCATACTATACTCTGCTTCCAGAAAGGGTAGTTTCTCCTCTCAGCAGGCCTCTGATTGTGCTAGTAAAGATGTCAGATGGGAGCTTTGTGTTCCTTCTTGCCAAATGTTCTTAAGGTGCTCTCTGTTCTGTCATGTGTGTGAATTCAGTAGCCCACATGCTGCAAATCATATACTGTGTTGCCAACATTAACAATTACTGCTCTACTTAGTGGGACTGAAATGTAATGCATCCCTGGAAGGGTAACAGAGACTGGTCCTGAGTTTAATTTTCATGAGGTCCAACTGATCATCCAATTCACATTTATTCATTCATAAAGAATTTGAAAATGAACCCTGGCAGGGGTCATCAAATCTCACTCACGAACTGGGAACTGGATACATCAAACCAGGGAGCATGAGGCATGTGAGAGTTAGGGGAAATGAGGAGAGACAGTGTAGCCATATTATGTTCATTATGACACTAGGCAAAATGATATTTGTGTTGAAGACCATTGAGAGCCAAAGCTGTTTTATGGTAGGAGAGATGGGAAGAAGCTAACCAGTGACTCTGTCTAGAGAATTCATACCTATGGTGAGACTTTCCATAGGAAAGAACAGGGCATGGGATACATGGGCTGTGGCAAGACACAGCCATCCTTGACTTGCATGAGGAGTACTGTGACTCATTAAGTCTAAGATTAACATCCTTGTCCTCTCTCCTTCTCTCTACACCTCCCTCAATTCCATTCTCTTATAATCAATTGTCAGACATCTACTAATAAGTGTATGGTCTGACAGTGCAAATGTAGTTCCATGGAGGAACTAAAAAGTCAGTGTGGGAGATGTAAATTTACAACACACATGTTTACAGCAGGGGCCAAGGTAGAGGGGAGAGAGAGAGAGAGAGAAGGAGAGAGAGAGAGAGAGAGAGAGAGAGAGAGAGAGAGAGAGAGAGAGGGAAGAGGAGAGAGAGAGAAGAGAGGAGAGAGAGGGAGAGAAAGGGAGAGAGAAAGATCACACATAGACTCACACAGACACAAACACACACACACACACACACACACACACACACACACACTTACACAGAAAGAGGTAGAGGCTCAGTTTAGGAGCAAGAGGTGGGGAGGGAGAAAGTGGCGAGGTGGTTTCGAGGGTAAAAATACTTGCCATGCAGACCTGAATATTTGAGGGCCATCCTTTCAATCCATGTAATTGTGGAAGGAGAGAACCAATTCCACGAAGTGGAACTCACCCATCCCCTTCCTTAACACACACAATTAACATGCAGGTGTACAGGTGGAGCTGAGGCTAGGCTGTATATTTCAGCAGGGTTGGAGGAGTTGCTAACAGGAGAAGGCTGGAGGTTATGTCCATAAGGCCTGGGCTTTGGGCCTTTACGTGAGAACAGTGAAATATGCAGCATTTGCCAGGAAATGTTAACACACTCCTTAATGAGGGAGGTGGTAGGTGGTGACTGAACTATTGATAGAGAAATAAACCTGAAGGAGTTGGGAAGCACTGACATACATCTAGCGCATTTTAGTGGTCCAGGGAAGTGTGGGCTGTAGTTCCATATCCCATTATAAATTGATGGGCTTGTATATACATTGCCAATAGAAAATTACAATCAGCCGTTTCAAAACCTAGTTTTGTTCTTAATTTTTTCTATAACATTCCTGCTTCCCAAGGGCACTTTCATGCATGAAATTGAAAGGAGTTTTATTGGAGGAAGGTTGAACTTGAGATGAGGAGGTACATCACGTGGGAATAAGTTTTCAATCTCTTCATAGAAAAACAAGACTCCTTTGGTAGGAACATGTTAAAATAGGCAACAGAACATGTGGTTTTATTTACCTGTACAGGGTCTTCATGTTAGGTTATTTGGATGAAAGCTATTCAGCAGAGGCCATGAGATTGAAATGAAAGGCATGGTATACATCTATGAGAGTCAGTTTTAAGTGTCAACTTGATAGGATTGGCAAGCTCCTGGATAGGATCAGGGAAGCACACCTTGCATTTGTGAGGCATTTCTAGAGATGAGGCATCTACCATGGATGGCGAGGATACTATCCCATTAACTGAGGGTAGAAAAGGAAAGAGGAGAAAGTCAGCCAACAGAGGTTTGATGGTTTGCTCACTCTTCTCATGCTCTGGCTGCTCAAGTATGAGCTTCTCTACCATAACACAATGACCTGAAACCTCTGTCATCAATAGACTAAAAATCCTAAGACCATGAGCCTACACAATAAGGCCTACTTCCCTCAAACTGTTTTCTCATGAATTTGTCACATGAAATGAAAATCTAACACCACACCATGCCTGCATTTTCAGAGAAGTATGAGACATACGGTTTGGTGATTCTTGGCAAAGCCCTGGTTAGAGGGGCAGTTGGTCCTCAGGTCCTTTTGGAATTGCATGCAAGAAGGAAGAGTGTCTGTCCAATTTCACGAGTGGCTTATAAAAGGAGGGTTAAAATAGAGACCTCTCCTAAGGCTGGAAGTCAGAGAGAGACAGGAAAGGATGGGTGTGAGTGATGCTTTCCTTCTAAAAGGACAGACGATCATACCTGTCCAGGACTCTTCTGGTCTTTCCTTCTTACAGGGTATGGCCCCTTGGGAGTCCTCAAGGCTTCTAAGTGACAACTGCATCTCAGACAGAGGAGCACTGAGACAAATTCAACTCCCCTTTCCTATCACAACCTTATTTTGAGAAATGAAAAGCCCTTCATTAGTATGAGTAGTGTCCCTCAATGTGCTGAGTGTTAGAAGGCATGGTCTCCAGGGTGGTGCAATTCTGGGGGGTAGAAGCTTTGAAGAGGTATGATTGGACGGGTTCCCAGCCCCTTTCTGCTTTTTATAAATCTTGGCTTTGCAGTACTTTTTTTTTTTTTGCAGTTTTTATTGATTCTTTGTTAGTTTTACCTCATGCACCCCAGTCCTACTCATCTCCCTGTACCATCATATTTACCCTTTGCTCTTGCAACCTCCCCTTGAAACTACACATACGCACACCCCCCACTGTCCCACTGTCCCACTGTCCCACTGTCCCACACCACCACCATCACCACCACCACCACCACCACCACCACTACCACCACCACCACCACTACCATCACTAAAACCAAAGCATAGAAAAAAACATCTTGGAAGTTGTAGTATGTCATAGTGTGTCTAACAGTATATCCCTCTGTCCACATATCTTCACTTGCAAATGTTCTTTGGTCTAGTTTGAGGTGTCTGGCTTCTATGACACCATGAATATTTGATCCTCACCAGAATTCCCCCCAGTTATCCTGTTGTCACCCTGTGTCATGGAGACCCTGGAGTTTTAGATCAGCCATTTGCAGATGATACAGATTTTGGTGCAGGCCAACTCAGAGCCTTGGCTCTTGGCTTGGACCTGGATCTAGATCTGGGCATGGGTGGTAGCTGAGCTGGCTTTTCCTTGTACACACCATCAGGGAGAGCTCTCCAGTCCTGCTCTAGCTAGGGCACCCAGTGCCATCATTAGCAAGAATCAGGGTCAGCTCTCCTGCTCTCATGCCCTTAGGGGCCAGCTCATCTGCACTCCTGCCACTCCACTGTGCTGCCCAATTAGGTGTGGGACCCACTTCCTTAGTGCTAAAGTCTGGAGGGTCTGGGACACTCTCCCTGCTATCATACCCTTGAGCCTGGCTCACTCATGCCTTTTCCATCAGGCAGCCTCACTGTGTTGCTCAGGCGAGGTGCAGGGCCAGCTCTTCTGAGTGCTACAGCCAGTGAGGTGTGAGGGCTAGCTTTCCTGCTCTCATGGCCCCTGGGACAGCTCTCCCAACTACCACAGGTGGCAAGGTGGGAAGACTACTACCCCTACCCACATGCCATCTCACAGCAAATGAGGAGCAAGTGGCAGGGCCAGCTCTCCCACACTTTCGCCCTCGAATTGGCTCACTCACACCCCTGCCACCAAGACCAGCTCTGCTGTGTTGCCCAGGCAAGGTGCAGGACATGATCTCCAGAGTGCTGCAGCTGGCAAGGGGCAGAGCCAGTTCTGCACAGCACCTGGACACCCACTTGGTCCCCGGTGGCTGCCCTGACCAAAGATGTCCTATGATTTTTTAGTAGCAATATGAGCCATGGACATTGACACTGATCCTTGCTGCCATGTAACCACAGACTCAGACAGCTCAGGCTGGGATCTCGTCACAGCCCCAGGTGGTCGGGATGGCCACTCACAACAGGCTACTCCTCTCTACCCTAAAGTCCTCACAACTCCATCTCTCTTCATGATGCTCAAGCTGTTCCACTTCTCTTTCTCTCCCATCTGTCTACTGCATACTTGCACATTGTGGTTGTTGCCCCTACAGGCTGGCCATGCAGTTGGTGGGGCCCTGAGTGACATCCTTTATCTGTGCTATGTGATATGGAGACAAGTGGTTGTCTATGGCCTGCCTGTGCTGCTGGGTAGAGGGCAGGTCTGTGAGTATCTTTCCCTGCCCACATCATGTGGCATGGCAGAAGCAGGTCTCTGTCTATCTTCCTTCTTTACTGCACTGCCTGGATTTGATTTGATTTGATTTGATTTGATTTGATTTTTATGAGTCCTAGGCATAAAACAGCTTTGGCCACCAAGCCAAGCATCAAGCTAGGAAGAACAAAGGACGACCATCTGTTCTGTCCCTGACTGATATAAGAACACCACCACCAAAATGTTGTCTCTTTCAGTGAGTAGTTTTGCTGACATGTGCTCTGGCCATGATACATGGTCACTGGCGCAAAACAGCAGTACTAATTGACTATGGACTAGAAGCCCCCAAACTGTCAAGCATGGTATACCTCCACTCTTCATTCAGTGACTACTTTATATACTTTCTTATAGTAACACAAAGCTGACTAACACATTAACTGTATATAACCACGGCAAGGTTAATTTCTAATCATCGTCCTTAGAGTAGAGGAAGCAAACTTTTTAGGTTTTTTTTCTTAATATTTTTGAACAAGATTCTACAGAGGAAGATATAAAAATGACCTAAGGTTACTGCAAGTTTGGGAAGACTATAGGTATTTATGGACAAGATAAACAAAAGTAAGAGACATAAGAAAGAGAAAATGAATGAACAGAGAGGGGAACCCTGCTGTGCTTGCAAAGCTGGGGAACATGCCTGTCTGTCTGGCTTTTGTGGAGCAGGTAGGCTGTGATGAACTGACACATCCCTTCTGCAGGATGACTTGGACTTCATGGTTGCAGCACTCCTGTTGCTTAGGAGAACAGCAACTCCTCCTATAGCTTCTTCTGGAGACAACAGACCTTGGTACTGGGCCTCTCTTCTGTGTCTGAGCTACTGCATTACAGCTCCGGGAACGCCATCCTCACTTCATTAATTAAAACAATCATATTTTGACCTCAATTAGCCTTGGGATTGACTTTTAATTGGGGAGCATTCCTTGGATGCTCGTCTGTCAAGAGTCCCTGAGAATTATCTGTGCGTCTGTCTCTATTTTCCTAGGGTTGTGTGGACACTCATATTTATGCTTGTCAGTACAACAACTACCAAAGCAAAAGAAAAAAAAAAACTTATCTTGGTCTGATGTCTATGCCACTGCTAGCTAGTCAGTGTGAACACCAATCAATCATTCTGAGACTTCTGGTTAGCCATACTGGAAGCCTGGTGAGCCAAACCGCTCCGACTATGTTGCTCTTACTGGCATAGGAGTCATTTGACTCACTAAATACATACACTATACATCTGTACACCTGAGAAACACTGGGATAAATTTTCCTCCAACACACAATAGAAATTTATAAAAAGACTGAGGAAACAAACAAATCTCAAGGATGGTAGAGTAATAAATTAGCCTATAAGTTGGGCTTGGTGGTGTAGCACATATGTACCCCAACACTCATGAAACAGAAGCATGAGAGTCCTGAGTTTGAGATAAGCCTGGATGACATAAAAAGTTCAAGGCCAGCCTGAGTGACATGGTGAGTAGGGTCACAGTTCAGTGGTAGAGCACATACCAACCATGCAGTGAGCTCAAGGTGCTAGGTCTATCCCTAGTAAAGAAAGCTGTCTAGGAATTAAAAGGGATGCCATTGACATCCCAGGGCTTGCAAGACATTGTTAGATTTGGTTGAGAGATCTGGTGAAGGAGAACAAGTTGAGTGGTGCATATTTGCCTGGGTTTTAATGTAGCCTTTCTTGTCACAGCAGCTAGGCGGAGTTCATGGTTTCAGTAGATGTAGTCTGATGCACTATCCTGGCCACAGTCATCCTTTCCTGTAGTTCTGGAAAACATGTGCGCCATCTCACCATGTCATGCAGGCTGGCCTTGAACTTTTTATGTTATCCAGGCTTGTCTCAAACATAGGAACATCACATTTCTGCTTCCTGAGTGTTGGATACATGTGTGCTACACCACCAAGCTCATCTTATAGGCTAATTTACTACTCTACCATCCTTGATATTTGTTTGTTTATTTGTTTATCTAAATGGATTTTTTTTTCAGGAAAATGGATTTTTACTTTTTCTTTTTTTTGCTTCATTTTGTTTTTCATTGAGATTGACTCTTCTGGGAGAGTTATTATTTATTGTGACCTTTACTCATTGCTAAAAGGTAAAAATTTTAAACAAATTCTGGTTCTGGGTGTTTTAGAAGAGTTTACATAAGAAAAAAATTTAAACTTATACTCATAAAAAAGATAAAAGCAAAAAAACAAAAAAACCCAACAACAACAACAACAACAACAGTAAAGTAACTTAATGCAATTTGTGGGTTGGTTACACTTGTAAGAACTTGCAGTTAAGATTTTGCTGTTACAAATTTGTCTGTTAAGGTAAGATAGGCAGCGGTTAGGCATATCAGAACAACCACAGGGAGGTCTGAGCAGGCATTGGAGAACCACCACAAATTCAGCATCCTAAGCTAATGTCCTGTTAGAGTCAACCTCTAGTCCTACTGTTATTGGTATATCATTAATGCTGAACACAAACAGGAACTCAACAGTTCCCTTTCATGCTACTTATACTTCTCATATTCCTTACGCTTGCTTGTGCAATTAACAAACACTGGGTGCCTGGGCTGGCTCTGGAGTGCTCAGGGAGACCCTCTTCCTCTATCTGTACAAAACTTTTTGAAGTACTCTTTTGGCCTGTACTTTCATTTTGTACCTTTATTTCAAACCTTAGGCTGGGCAATAAACTCAGATCTGCACCCTGATGCTGGTCTCTGGAGTCCGATTTCCCAATCCTCCGTCCTGTTCCCTCATGTAGTCTGAATTCTCAGTGATATACCATGGACCATCTCCTCCAGGAATCTATCATTTCCTATACCTCTGGTACTAGAACCCCCGCTTCTGTGTTCCCTTTTGTCTTCATGCATACTTAAAATTAGGCTTCAAGCTACTAATCAATCTTTCTTGTCTGTGGAATTCATGAAGGTAGGTATTGACTCTGTCTATTGCTGTGCTTTGGGAAACTGAAAATGCCCTATGCACTGATAATTACTTGATAAATTACATAGGATTGAACTGAACGGAATTTGGAGATGTTCTAAATTGAAGTATTGCTTGGGTGCCATTCTTGCCTATAATAAAGACACAAATGATCTGGCTCTGGGACTGTTTATTAGTGTCTCCAGGGATGAACTGGCCCTTGGGGACATTGTATAAAACATAAATCATCAGGAATCCAATGTGCGTTTATTCCCTGATGAAGACATGCTGCTAATAGGACAGAAGTAAATGAAATGCATGCCTTCAGCAAGTGTAAAGGTTTTTCAATTAGGATTTTGTATGCTAGTGAGCGGCAAAGGAGCAGTAATTCCCCAAGACAGACTTTTATGTGAAATTGATCAACTCTAGATTCAGGTTCCCTCCAAGTCTTCTGAATATGTGAGAATAAATTATTTAAGCTTTTCAATTGCATATGAGGATGATCTTGATAGAGTTAAGTCAGGATTATACTTGTCTCAGAATTTGAACGTTAATAAAGTACAGATAATTGTACATATAACTTAAGCACACATGCGTATTTATGACAATGATATATTCATTGTGAGTCAAATGTCACTATTATGTCTGTTGAATAATGAGCTTACAAGAAAGACTTGAGACGGTTAAGTGTACAAGAAAAGATTTAAATAAGTGACCAGCAGAAACTAATAAAAAAGTAATACCATAGTTCTTTGCTATTTTTCTTTCAACTGAACACTTAAGCCTAAGGTTTCAGAAAGCCAAAATAAAAGGAAAATCATTGTTTTAGATAATTTCTTTATTGTTTAGAGCAAGTAGTACTGGGTTTGGAAGACTACTAAGCCATAGTGATTAACCATGGTCACCAAAACTGTATCTACCATTCTTATTTAACACAGTGAATGGTTTTACAAAGTCTTGTTTGCATAATGCATGGGCAGAATAAACTAAATCCATTCTCATTCATAGTAGGTATGGAATGGATTTTACCTCAGAAATGAGATATAATTCATGAACCTAGCCTATAAGTCAAGAAACCACAGAAAATCAGCTTTTTACATATATTAACTTGGGAGAGGAATATTGATCCTGGATAGTTGACTGGCATGTGGTCTGAGGCAATGGGCTGGCATGTAATCATGGACAGTGGGTTGGCATGTAGTCTACATTTCTAGCAAGGGAAGATATAATGGTTTGAATAGATATGGCTCTTATAAACACATGTGTTTGAATGCTTGGCCCCATAGAGTGACACTATTAGGAGGTGTGGCATTATTGGAATAATTGCAGTCTTGTTAGAAGAAGTGTGTTACTGTGGGAGTGGGTTTTGAGGTCTTCTATGCTCAAGCTCTGGCCAGTGTGGGACACAGTCTCCTCCTGGCTGCCTGCAGACCAAGATGTGGAAGTCTCAGCTCCTTTTCCAGCAAGCACCATGTTGATTGGATACTTCCATGCTTCCCTCCATAATGATAATATACTAAACTTCTGAAACTGCAAGCTGAACCCAATTAAATGTCTATTGTTATAAGAGTTGCCTTGGTCATGGTGTCTCTTCAGAGCAATGAAACCCCAACTAAGATAGATGATATTAAAACAGAGCTAGCTAGGGAACATGAGTTGACAGTGTGACAGTTTCAACAAGTCCTTCATGAGACACTGGGAGAAAAGCTGCTGAGAGCTGTGGCAGAGCAAGGCACTGTAGATACACTTACTGTGTGTACCTTGACAGAAAATTGTTCTGGGGGCCTTGAATGGGTTCAAAGAGTGTTGTTTGCATAAAGCATGGACAGAACAAAATAAATCCATTCCTATTCACAATACTTGACTCAGGAGATCTCCCCTTATACCACAAAGTACCCTAACCTCTTTAAGTGGATTCTTGTGTCCTGTGCACTGGCAGAAACACAATAAAATCTTTCCTAAGATTTTCTTCTTAATACACTAGACATTAACCAACTGTAAAAAAAAATCAATAAGAAGGGGGAGGGGAAAATCAATAAAAAAACAGGAATAAAATAAAAATATAGACTAACTGACCTAAATGGCACTAGGTCAGATAGAGCACTGTGTAGACAGGCTCCAAAGTGCTAGTAAGATTCAAAGAATACACATAAACACACACACACACACACACAAACACACACACACACACCACACACACACACACACACACACACACACACACACACACACAAAGGAGATCATACATTTGAAAGAGACCAGAGGGACAATACATGAGAGGAGTTGGAAGGAGAAAAAAGAA